ATAGTGTATTAAGACCAAGACTATAGTGTATTAAGACCAAGACTATAGTGTATTAAGACCAAGACTATAGTGTATTAAGACCCAGACCAAGATCAGCATGTGTAGAGACTGAGACAAGACCAAGACCATAGTGTATTGAGACCGAGACCAAGATCGGAGTGTGTAGAGACTGAGACAAGACCAAGAACATAGTGTATTAAGACCGAGACCAGTGTATTGAAACTGAGACAAGACTAAGACCAAGACTATATTGTATTAAGACCATGACTATAGTGTATTAAGACCATGACTATAGTGTGTAAAGTCCGAGACTATAGTGTATAAAGTCCGAGACTATAGTGTATTAAGACCAAAACCAGAGTGTATTAAGACCAAGATCAGAGTGTATAGAGACCGAGACAAGACCAAGACCATGGTGCATTAAGACTGAGACAAGACCAAGACCATAGTGTATTAAGACCGAGACCAAAGTTTATTGAGACCAAGACCAGAGTGTATTCAGACCGAGACTGAGACCAGAGTGTGTTGAGGCCAAGACCAAGATCAGAGTGTATTGAGACTGAGACAATACCAAGTTGATAAAGCGACATTGAGTCTAGACCAAGGCCAGAAAAAAACAAAACTATACGTAAACTAGTGCCCTGAAACATACAATACACTGTACACAAGATGTTAACAAATAAATGAGACAATATTCTGGCAATTTAGTTAGATTTCCACAGTTGTGATCTTGGCTGGTCTTGAAATAAAATTTGAGACGAGACAGAGTAAAGATGCGGTTGAGCCTGAGACCATCAAAAACTGGTCTCAAGTACAAGAAGTACAAGGACAGTTCAATGCAATCCCAGGTGAAGATTTCCATATTTTCTCACAGTTTTGTGTGTCTGCAGCGAGTTCCCAACAGTTGCAGCGTTGTGAGATACTACCTTCAGCTGCATGCTCCTCGTGGCTCTAAAGTCTCATCTCTCCTTCAATTTGCTTCACTTTTTCCTCTTCGCTCTTTGAAACCCATCTGTCTGTGTTGGCAGGCGTCTCGTGAGAGTCTTTCACCGTCTGTGTCTGGAGACGTCAGTGAGGCGAGCCTGTCTTCCCAACAGGGGGCTCTCAGAGCCCCCGTGACCCCATCCCCTGCAGCCGCCCCGGTCCAAACTACTCCCAGCAAGGTGGGTCCCAGACTACTAGAAGAACCGGTTTCCACATTTGTCATTTCATTTCACTTTTGTTCATCGTGTTCATGGTTTCGTTCCGTTTCATTTTGTTCCATGTTACTGTTTGACCAGGTGGAACCTTCTATTTCCAAGCAGGTAGAGTTTTCTGATGGCTACATGCATGCTGCAGAGTTTACTAACAAACTCAACTCTAAAGGGGACTGTCAGTGCATCTCTGTGATACTTTGTAATGGATCTGAAATGTTCTCACTGTGATTCTGCATGGCTTCAACTTTCAGGCGTTTTCTTCACATCGGGGAGAAACAAATACAGTTTCATTATTGATTTTAATTTGTGCAGATGGCAGGGTTCCCACAGGTCCTTGAAATCCTTGAAAGTTTGTGAATTAAAAAAGAAAACATTTCAAGGCCCTGAAAAGTTTGTGACAAGAGCCAAAAATTACACTTGTCCTTGAAAGTCCTTGAATCTTTTTTGGGGATTGAAATTCTCTCTTCACACGACTGATTTTCATCATCTTTAAAAAAATTATTAAATTAAAAAAAATTACATTTGTTGTAGTGGTTAACTCAGGATTACGGTAAACTGATGTCATTGATTCTGACTCAACAACATCTATGTCATTCAGTTTTTCATTAAATTTACATGATATTAAACCTGTTTATTGGTAACGTTCTGCGGTAGCAGTAGGTAATTGCCGTTGCACATGGTTCTTTAATTTGAGGATATTGGTACTGGAAAGTCCTTGAAAGGTCCTTAAATTTGATGTTGACCAAGGTGTGGGAACCCTGAGATGGGGTATATTTATAAATTAATTCAATAAATAGTCTTCAGTGACATCACTACAACTTCCTGTATTTACTTTACTTCCAACAAAGAAAATCTTGTTGAAATAAATCATGTAAATTCATACTTTCTTCCTCCCTCCACCTGTTTATTTTTCAGGAGGAAGAGTCTCTGCGAGCTCAGGTCAAGGACCTGGAGGAGAAGCTGGAGACTCTGAGGATAAAGCGAATGGACGATAAGGCTAAGCTGAAGGAGCTGGAGAAATACAAGATCCAGTTGGAGCAGCTGCAGGAGTGGAAGAGCAAAATGCAGGAGCAGCAGGCCGAGCTGCAGAAACAACTCAAAGAGGCCAAGAAGGTGCTTCCAAGTCCTGTAGCTGTATATAATAAATAATCTGTAGGGTTTGAACATCCAGCCATCACGCTAACTTTTCCCCTTCAGGAAGCCCGGGAGGCCCACGAGGCTAAAGACCGCTACATGGAGGAGATGGCGGACACAGCGGACGCCATCGAAATGGCCACGCTGGACAAAGAGATGGCTGAGGAGCGAGCGGAATCTCTGCAGGTGGAGGTGGACTCGCTCAAGGAGAAGGTGGAGGAGCTCTCCATGGATTTGGAGATCCTGAGGCACGAGATTTCAGAGAAAGGTGAGCGAGATGAGCTGAACGGCACAGATTCTTCTGCTGATCGGTGTTTTAATGTTTTTATTACTCTGTGTCACACAGGAACAGATGGAGCTGCATCCAGTTATCAAGTCAAACAGCTGGAGGAGCAGAACACCAGGCTGAAGGAGGCGTTGGTCAGGTGATGGAAAATTACTAATCTTAACTAAGTTTTTTTTTTTAAAAACTCATTGGGCCTCATGCAAGAACATGTTCGTATTCTTATCCTAAATTTCTCTTACCTTTGTTCGTATGAAGGGTTCGTACGAACATGTCACATCAGATTCAACAAACTCTTCTATCTTCAGGAAAAGTGTGTAAATGAGCTGCGCAAACTGATGAATGCGTATCAGCTGCTCGCGCTCGAGGAGAGGAGATTAGCATAATTACCACCCTAAAACACCATATAAGGATATACGTTTCCTGCCCCACATACCAGGAAGGGTCCATTCATAAATGAGATCGCAAAGTAAAAAAGAAGAACATTACGAGTTTGGAGATTGAAGTCCTGCTCTCAGAGATCCAGAAAACAAAATCTGCCATTTTTAGCAGCGTCAGCTGTGGAATTAAAGGAATGAAACGACTGCTGTTAACGTCGTGTCTCCTGTGGGTCAGTCACAGAAATAAAAATCTAAATCATATTTATCTCTCTGTAGTCCTGCTCCGGTTTTCCTTTGGTCAAATATTTTTAATTTAAGTGTAAACAACTGTGTTACTGTGTTTTCATTTATTCAGAAGAACAGTCGCGCACCGCAGCGTCCCCACCCCCCACCCCCGTCATAAGTGTCAGATGTGGCTTTGAAAAAAGCTTTTTAAAATGTCTCCAAACTTCAATTAATGCATAAATTAAGTTGATTTGAAGTTTGATATTAATATTGTAGTTTTATACAACAGCATTAACAGCCAATTTAATTTAATTTTATTTAACCAATTCATGTCGTTAGTCTACATTAGTTACATTTAAAATTATAATTCTAATTCAAACAGAATAGCCTATTATCATAATTATGGAGTGTGATTTATTTTCAACTCAAAATATCTTCAAACTAATGAAATATGAAGTTATTAGTGAAGAAAATCCATCTAGATAACAGCAGACTGACTGCTTGTAAAATAACAACAGGTCTGGACCACTCGTGAATTTTGTTTGTATCTGAAAAAAAAATCTTAGGATACGAGAAAGTTGGTGAACGCCACAAATTCTCCTAAATCACTCGTACGCACAACTTAAGAACAAATCTGTTTGTAGGAATGGTTCCTTCATGAGGCCCAATGATACTTAAACTCCTCCAGACAGTGACTTCCTGTATACAGACGTGAATACATGTGTTGGTACCCTTCCACAATAATAAAATAAAAACAAGAAGCTGCAGTTTTGTCTCAACAGTCCAATTCCAGTCTCAGCTTCTCATTCGTCCCCGTCTGTAAATAAAAACCTCCTGCACTTCATCAGGATGCGTGACCTGTCTGCCTCGGAGAAGCAGGAACACGTGAAGCTGCAGAAGCACATGGAGAAGAAGAACACGGAGCTGGAGACCCTGAGGACCCAGAAAGAGAAACTGCAGGAGGAACTCAAACAAGCCGAGGCCACGGTTGATGAACTGAAGGAGCAGGTGAAGCCTGGGAGGCTGAAAGCTCCGATTCCAGAATCGGTCACACATCGAAACATTATAAACATCTAACAGAGTTTCTTCCTGTTTGTTAAAGCTGAACTTTGGGTTTTAAAAAAGTATTTGTGTAACTTAAGGTGGATGCAGCTCTGGGATCAGAGGAGATGGTGGAGACCCTGACTGAGAGGAACCTGGACCTGGAGGAGAAAGTCAGAGAGCTGAGGGAGACAGTCACTGATTTGGTCAGTGCAGCTGTTAAATTGTTTACTTTTATTTAAATTGATGCCTGTTTTTATGTCTTTATGGAGGTCTGTATTTTGTCAAAAAGTTATCGTTTATTTCCTGAAAAGCTTCTGATCGTTTTATTCGTTAAAAGGTAAAGAAACAGAAAAGGGGCGCTGAAAAGCCAGTCCTGTGTGTTTCTGCTCCGACAGGAAGCCATCAACGAGATGAACGACGAGCTGCAGGAGAACGCCCGAGAGACCGAGATGGAGCTGAGAGAGCAGGTGGACCTGAGTGGAGCCAAGGTCAGAGAGGCAGAGAAGAAGGTGGAAGCTGCTCAGGAGACCGTCGCCGATTATCAGCAGACCATCAACAAGTACAGAGAGCTCACCGCCTCGCTTCAGGTGAGACGATGGGAAACATCGGTTAGGTTTGGAGAACGTAGGAATGATTGTATCAGCTTCTGTTTGTCAGGAGGCCAACAGAGAGCTGCTGAGTCAGCAGAGTGCAAACACAGAACAACCTCAGCAGCCGCCTGCAGAGCTGTTTGACTTCAAGATCAAGTTTGCAGAGACCAAAGCTTACGCCAAGGTAAGAGCTCAACAGTTTTCTGATGCCTCTCTCTCTTGTTATATGTGACCCATCATATCAAAATGAGGATTAAGTCAAAATTGGTTAAAATGACCTAACTACATTTTCAGATTTCTGGCTTTAAAAGCTACATTTTGATACCTGGATCATTCTGATATCATCAGTTTATCCAGAAATATGCCTTAATTTGACTTGTTGGTTACAGTAATACAAACATGGTCTGAATCCTAATTTTATGTAATTTTAATGAGGACTTTTTGATGTCCTTACAAAGAGGAAACTTCAAATATTATTTGAATATTGATTTTTCCCAGCTGGAATGAAACAAAACATTTCTAGCTCACAGGGAAAATCTCAAAATATTAAGGCTTTTTTGTTCAAAATCAGTGTTTTTGTTGCTACTGCTCACAAAAAGTGCTTCAAGAATTTGTTTTATGATTATATTTCAGACATTTCATTCGAATGATACATTGAAAAGGCATTAATTCATTATGTTTTGACAAAATGCACTTTTTGCAAATGTTTTATTTACCTATTTTTCCATAAACTACTTTTAGACAATCCTCATTTTGATGTGATGGGTCACATATTTGTCTGGAAATTTATTCATTTAATTAAAAAAAACACATTTACATACAACAAAACAATACTAATCAAATAAAATGAAAGGTAGCAGAAGAAAAAAAATCTTATATTTGCCCCTATTTGCAAAAAGTAATATTAATTTCAAACAATAGTAATCAGTTTCATTTCATTAAAAAATAAAATAAAATAAATGATCTATTTAAAAAACCAACAACCCTTCCTGTGTGTTCAGGCCATTGAGATGGAGCTGAGGAAGATGGAGGTGGCTCAGGCCAACAGACAGGTGTCCCTGCTCACCTCCTTCATGCCAGACTCCTTCCTCCGTCACGGCGGCGACCACGACTGCATCCTGGTGCTGCTGCTCATCCCCAGGCTCATCTGCAAGGTGCAAAGCAACGCTCCCTTTTCATCGCTTGTACCATTTTCAGAAATGTTTTAGTTTAAAACAAGCTGAATGTTTAAATTTGAACCGTCGTTCTTGATCTGGTTCCTCCCTTGAAGGCTGAGCTCATCAGCAAACAAGCTCAGGAGAAGTTTGACCTGAGTGGGAATCTGGTCCAGGGACCGGCGCTCAGAGGACCCCCAGGGGAGCAGCGCAGCTTTGCCTCTGGACTGGTCTACTCCCTGAGCCTGCTGCAGACCACCCTGCACAAATATGAGCAGTAAATAACACCAGCCGCATCAGAACCTGAGCAGTAAAAATAAATCGAACCAGCTGCAGCCGTTTCTTCTCTCTTCTGTGTGTCTGTGCTTTAGGGCTCTGAACAGCTGCAGCGTGGAGGTCTTTAAGCGCATGGGAACACTTTACTCTGAAATGAGCTTCCATGAGCGCTGTCTGGATTATTTCATTGACCTGCTGCATAAAGATCAGCTGGATGAGACCGTTCAGGTGGAACCCCTGACCAAGGCAATCAAATACTATCAGGTAGGAAAAGACTTTGATTTTCTCATTTTAATGCCTACAATATGATTAAATGATTAAAAAAACAACTAACAAATTATTACAAAATGTGTCTGCAATAAAAATTTAAAAGCTCTGTCACGCTATAATGGTTTAGACAACTTATTAAAATGTCCAGAACTGAAGATTGAATTAAAAAGAAAATCTACTGGATTCCTCTTTTGGATGCTGTAATGCTAACGATTGGATTGGCAGTGTCTCAGTTCATGGGTTGCAGCCGACTTAGAACACATTTGTCAGCCGCTTACGCCCCTGCCCCGCACCGTAGGCTGTCCTGTAGGTGCCTACTGATGCAGCCGAGAAAACCCTGAAAACGTAGGCTGCATCTGAGTAATCCTACAAGGTTAACGATACCCCAGGATTCATTGGTTTTTTTACTTTATTTTTTTTAGTGGCAGAGTTTGGAAATTTATCACGGACTGAAGAATTTGCCTAAGTTCTCTAAAACGTTAAGTGTGATAAAACCTTAAAATAATTCAGAAAGCTGTTTTAGATCATTTTGAATCTGCTGTTTTTTCTAATATAAAAATACCTAAAAGTAAAAGGTAAATTAAACAATTATCATATAATTTGGTGTTGTAAGGGAGTATTTATTGTTTTTTTTTTTGTTTGTTTGTTTTTCCTGTTGAAGCTAAAAATTTCGAATAGATTTATTTTGGTAAATTTGCAACATTACAAAAAAGGAAACAAAATGAAACACTATTTTACAAACCAATAATTTACAAGAAAAGAAATAGGCTGAAGCTATGGCTTATACTTCCTATGGATTCCTTAAAAAGTCTTAAAAGGCATTGAATTTGTCAATCCAAAAATAAAGCCTTAACTGGCCTTAAAATTACTTACCGTTTTTAAGACCCCTGAAAGATTGATTTAACATATTGTCAGTAGGATGATTGTAATTTTGTCTGAAATATTAAAATAATTGGTAACATTTATTTATCTTTTTAAATAATTTACTGAATGCTTCTCGCAGCTAGCTTGTTTCAAGTTGAGGTCTCTGCAGAACATGTTGTCCTGTGGGCGGAGATGTCCCAAATCGTCATTGGCCGAGGTCTTAAAGTGGGCGGAGACGTCCCTGCTCGTGATTGGCGGAGGTCTTGATGTGGGCGGTGATGGCCCAAGAGACGTGATTGGTCGGATTAACGGTGGGGTCAGATGTGCGAGGCTGGAGGCAGCGGGGAGTAGCTTGGTCGAGTCGGGTAGGAAGTAGTGTTTTTATTAGATTAATTTTAGTCATAACTTGAGAAAGGAAAGTGCTAGCTTCACGATTAAAACGTCCCTAACCAGCTTGTAAAAAGATAGCTAAAAATCAATATTTTTTTACAGGCTGATTAGGGATGTTTTAACCAAAACATATTGTTACACATCCTTTCACATGTACGACGTTCAAATTTCGTGAAGCTAGCACTTTCCTTTTTCAAGTTATGACTAAAATTAATCTAAAAAAAGTTACTTCCTGTCCGACTCGACCAAGCCACTCCCCGCTGCCTCCAGCCTGGCAGCCTCGTACCCCACCATCAATCCGACCAATCACGTCTCTTGGGCCATACTTCCACATCAAGACCTCCGCCAATGACGATTTGGGCCGTCTCCGCCCACATCAAAATCTCCGCCAATCACGAGTAGGGCTGTTTCCACCCACAGGACAAAACCTATCGCAGAGACCCCTTACTCACTTGTTTTGCCTTTATTTACCTGGATGACTGAGAATCTTCACTAGGTTAAAAATGTTGTGTTTCCACTGTTTACGTGAAAAACCCTTCTATTCAGTAAAAAAAAAAAAAACACTTTGAAGAAGTTAGTAGTCAAACCAAAGTATGTTCACTCAATAATAAAAATTAAGTGCCATGTTATCTCTTCCAGCAACTGTACAGTGTTCATTTGGCCGATCAAACTGAGGACTGCACAGTGCAGCTAGCCGACCACATTAAGGTACCTGACAGTTTGTATGCTCACAGCCTGAATGGTTACCTCAACATGTTTTTGGGAAAAGATGATAAATCTTTTAAAGAGATTGAATAGTCAAAACAGAGTTATGAAATGTAATCCAACCCGTTTCTCATCCCCTCCCCTCAGTTTACCCAGAGTGCCCTGGACTGCATGGGCGTGGAGGTGGCTCGTCTGCGGGTGTTCCTGTCAGCGGGACAGGAAAGTTCGGGTCTCGCCGTCCTTCTGAAGGACCTTGACACGTCCTGCTCCGACATCAGGCAGTTCTGCAAGAAGATCCGCCGCCGCATGCCTGGAACGGATGTAGCCGGAGTCCCGGCCGCTCTCAGCTTCGGACCGCAGGTGTCCGAGACACTGACGGAGTGCAGGCGCCAGCTGACACGAGTGGTGGCAGTCCTGCAGGAGGTGGCTGCAGCCGGCAGTCAGACGGTGGCTTCGCTGGGAGAACAGGAGGGCCTCAGTGCGCTCAAACTGGAGGACGTCGCCTACAAAGTTGTGGAGCAGGTAGTCCTTAAACGCCAACAGACGACCTTCTAGTGAAAGTTTTACCACCAGCATCATTTTTAATTTCATGTCTTTTCATTCCATTTACACGTGAGAATTGTTGCAGGATTTCCCACCAAACAGACCAATTATCCAATTATTATTCTACTCTGATTGCTGAGCTTGAATAGAAACAAGTGACAACCATCAGCAGCAACCATACCCCTTGTTTCAGTCATATTGTGCTGTCTGTTCTCTAAGGTCTACGGCTCCCAAAATGTGAACGGTCCAGAGCTTTTGCGCCAGTCCTGCAGCTCTGTCATTGCTACCATGAACAAGATGGCTACAGCCATGCAGGAGGGAGAGTATGATGCTGAAAAACCACAAAGAATGGTATTCATGTGCTATGAACAACACATCAATTTCTTCCATTTTATCTCATCTTAACTCTCAAACCCTCTGAATCCTTTTGTGTCTTTAGACTCCTCCAGTGGAAATGAGAGCATCCACCGTCAGGGCTGAGATGACGGACGCTGAAGGTCTGGGAGTCAAACTAGAAGACAGAGAAACCGTCATCAAGGAGCTCAAGAAGTCTCTAAAGATTAAGGTGATGCAAGACTTTGATTTACAGGTTTCTGAAACGCCCAAGGCAAGGAAGGAAAGCTGAACTAGTTGTGAATGTCTGCAGGGCGAGGAGCTCAGCGAGGCTCACGTCCGCCTGAGCCTCCTGGAGAAAAAGCTGGACACTTCCACCAAAGACGCCGACGAGCGCGTGGAGAAGATTCAGACCAAACTGGATGAAAGCCTCGCCCAGCTCAAGAAGAAGGAAAAGTAAGACAGATACTTGAATTCATCGTCCATTTCTCCACGACGCCTTGTATTTACCTCATTGCTCGTCTGCAGGGAGTTTGAGGAGACGATGGATGCTCTGCAGGCTGACATCGACCAGCTCGAAGCGGAGAAGGCGGAGCTGAAACAGCGCATCCATAACCAGTCAAAGATGACTATTGAGGGTCTGAGAGGCCCACCTGCCTCAGGGATCTCCTCCATCGTCCATGGATCTGCAGGAGGTAAGCCTCTCATACAATAAATCAGTTAAACAGGACCAGAGGTTTAACGGTTTTTGTCTGTTCTGCAGCAGGTCTGCCTCCAGCCATGGCAGGACCCACCCAGGTGGTGGACTCTCCTCTCCTCAGGCAGCAGGTTGAGGTCCAGAGATTGGGCATTAAATACCTCAAAAACGAAAACAACCGACTCAAGGTAGAGTTAAAGTTATTGGTGGAACTTTGCAACTGTCTACAGCAGGAGAAAAACTCAATTTCACTAGGGCCAGTTGAAATAAACTTTGATGTTTCATGTTTAACTTCAACTAAACAGTGTTTTAACACATCCTCTTATAAACACTGAAAAGTACTATGTGTACGATTGATTCAATTTGAAATTAAATAATAAAGAAATACTATTAAAAGTAAAACTAGGAGTTTTACTCAGAGTTGTGAGTGAGTAGCTGCCGTCTTGAATTCTGAACTCTCCCACTTTCCTACAGGGAATTCCCATGAATGATCGACATGCATTATGGGAAATGTAGTTTATGATTGTAATGTTTTGAACTTTTAAAATATTGCATGGTAAAAACAGAAGCTGCTTTTCATATTACTGACAAACTTTGTTTTTTGATGAGTTACTTTCTTTTTTGCTTCTACTTTTCATTTAAAATAAGTTTCCATTCTCGGCAGGTTTCTGACGTTCTTCTACATATTAAAAAAGTTGTTAAACAACTGAGTGGTGCACTACTGCTACTAGTGGTGAGAAAGTGTATTGCACCTTATTCAAAATCAATGCGGTCCCGCGGCCCTCTGAGGCCCTCTGAGGCCCTCTGCGGCCCTCTGCGGCCCAAAGTTAAAAACTGTTGTTCTTTTGAGGCCCTCAAGGTGGCGCTCGGGCCGTGGCCCATAGGTTAAGAATCTCTGGTCTATAGTTTAGTGGTCTACAACCTTTACATTTAAAATAACTTTTACTATCTGTTTTTTAACCATCTTTCTTACAAAATTAATTTAGTATAAAGCCATAAAATCTACTTGCCCATTTAAAGAAACATTATTTTTCATGTATTAACAGGTTATGATCAACTGTATTTTGTATTGGTATTTCTGAGTCAGGAGTACATTTTAAATATATTTCAGTTTAAATAATCATATTTAGCTGATTCTGTTCCTGAGATGATTTAAAATAAAGAGTATGTTTTGTTAACTAATTTTCGAGGCAGCCCAAAGCATCCTACTGCAGATGGAAAACATATGAACATTACTCAGGTTCATGTCATTTGCTTTAGTCTAGCGTCTCATGTTTACCTTACAGGCTGAGAAGATGAGGGATCAGCTCGCCTCCCTGCCTCCACTCTGCCCTCCTAAACTGCCACAAGTGTCCAAAGAAAGCTCCGTGCCTCCAGAGGGCCTGAACACGGGCATCTATCGGAGGACCGACCAGCTGCTGGACACCCTGCTCAAACTGAGTTCAGAAGTCAAAGTGGTGGACGTCACTGGGAAGACAGCAGGTGTGTGAGCAGTTCTTGTTTCACGGTGGTATTTATTGGTCTCTGAGCGTTGTGTCCTGTTTCACAGTCAGTGCCAGCGCCCAGCTGCTGGAGCAGACGGCTCGGCTGAAGAATCTCAGCGATGCTCTGGACAAACTTAAAGTAACAGTTGTTAATTATCTTTTATCAGATGAGGGAAAAACAAAACATCTACAGAAATTAACTTGTTTTTGGTTTCAGGGTGAAGTAGCGGAGCATGTGGTTTCCCACCAGCCTGGAGCAAAAGCCTCCTCTGACTTCTCCACGTTCCCCGTTTCCTCCTTTGTTAAGGTACCATCATACACTTTTTTGATTTTTTTCCTGCTTTAAGTGTTTAGATAGAAATAATGCAGGGAAGTTTTACACGTCATCTTTCAGGCTAAGGAAGAGAAACAGGGTGGAACAGTGTTTGTCGGTCGTGTTGCCATCCCGTGCACCCGAGGCCAGGAGCGAGTCCACCGCCTGGTTCTTTCCCAGCAGCAGCTGCAGCAGGTGCACCACCTCCTCATGGTCTAAAAGCACAGGAAGACCACCATCCTCCTTATACCATTTCAACATTATCACTTTAATACTATACTCAGGAAACTGTATCCTGTTAATGCAAAGCACTAATCCTGTTTACCAGCAGACTTTGAAGATGAATTTGATAATTTAATGTCTAACTTTTGAATGTCACATTATGTTTTCATTTAAATGACATTTGCACCAATGTTGACATCTCGTTATATCATTCAGTTAGGAACTTAAAGCTTTTTTTTTTCTTCTTTATATTTTTTGTAATTGTCGTCAATAAAGTTAGCAATTCACTGAAATGTTTTGGCCTATTTGTTCTGATAAACACAAGGAGGTTCTATAGAACAGCAGGAGAGCGCAGAAACTACGTGACCGTGTGATCGGCTGGTGAAGCTAACGCTAAATGGGCAAGAGTCTGGATTTCCCGTTACTGTACATGTTGACAAAAGAGCAGGAAAAAATGGACTGGCGATGTAGAAGTCATAAAACCTATTAACTCTATTAATATTTTACAGTTTATATAATCTAATGTTTTAAGTAATGTCAGAAAAGCTGTTTGTGTTATGGATTTATTGACAGAAGATAAACAGGAAAACGTCTCATTTTACAACACAAGTCAGCAGATTTGATCTAATTTAGCTCAATGTGATCTGAGCAGAACATAATGTAACAGTTTAACATTAAAATAATCTTATAAAGTCGCTGTAATCATTTATTGAACTGGTTAGCAGATATTAGCTTGTGGAGCATATATACAGAGTTTAGCACTGTTGAATCATGCTACAATTTAACACAAACTATTAAATATTACAGCTGATTTGTCCTCTGATTAATATTTAGACCTACAGAGTGTAAAATAATATAATAAATGTAACGCTACCAGTGTACGGTATGGGCGGGGCTCAGTCTAGTGTTCTATATTCAAGTCTATGGATAAACACGACTAAACCTGTTCTGGGTAAACTTTATTTGTAATCACAACATGGGGGGAAACGTACAACACACAACAAGCTGTTAGTAAACATTTCAGACATGTTGAGCCTTGTTCACTTCCTGATCACATCATGTGTTGACAGGAAGTCTTTATTAAAGGCATCATGTGACAGGAGACAAAAATAGTCAAGATTATTAGAAAAAAAGTGTCTGAAAACTTCTTAAAAAATTAAAACACCTTTTAAAATTGTATTAAAGTGTTTAAAGAAACTTTCAAAGCAACTAACTACTAGTGTGCAGGGATAAGAAGAGAACTTAATGTCTGAAATGTGTGAAGCCTCCTCTTCAGTAAAAGCCATGATGGGGGTGGTGGGCTGGTCTGTGGTGAGTGTACGGGGCGTAGTGGTGTCTGCTGGGACGGTTCCGCATCACAAAATGATCATGAGGAGGAGGATGTTGATGATGATGATGATGATAGTTGTCATGGTGCTCCAAGTAGTGGAGAGGTCTGTAGTCGAAACCTGCGAAGATATTTAAATCAGTAAACTCTAGAGCCAACTTGGGAGCAAGATTTTGTTATAGTTTTTTTCAGAAAGGAGACTCAAGGTTCTGGTTATCATCACTGTGTCCATTTCTGTCCCTGTGCCTCCTCTGCTCAGCTAGTCCTTCAACCTGATGATCTCACTTCCTGTCATGCACAAGGAGACCCTCAACACCTTCACCTTCTGCCAGTTGTCTCCTGTCTTTTTGTCAATATGTCTCCAAAGCATACAGCATAGCTGCTCTCAGCAATGTTATAATAGTTTTGGATTTTTCATTAAAGTTTAGTTTTATTTCGTTTTGACTGTTTAAATTCAGTTAGTTTTAATTAGTTTTTACAGTGGGTTTGCTAGTTTATATTAGCCATTATTTATTTTTTAATGCTAAGTTTTGGTTTAGTTTTTATTAGTTGTTTTGTTTATTTATAGTTTGAACAAACATATTTACCAATGACACCTCCAGCTTGTGATGTTCCTGTAAGTTAACTAACCAACAGCTATTTTGGTTGCTAGTTAAAGCAGTTCATTATAGTGACACCTTCCTAAAATAATTGCGTAACTCAACTTTGCCAACTTAACACTTGGGTAATTATTTTAGGTCGATGACAATAACTGTCTCCAACCTGGTGCTACCTGCTGCTTGTTTTTCATGGGAGCTACTGAGAGAAGCTAGCGTGTCAGATAGTCAGTCATCTTGTATGAGCTTGATTCATGCAGTTTTTCCCTTGAGAAGTATTCCACCTTTTATTTTATTTTATTTTTTATCACCTGTTTCCACTATGACACTTGCTTTCATTTTTCTCACAGTCATATTTGAAGAAATCTTAAAGTGGACTTTGCTGCTTTCTCCCAACTTTTGTTGTCATTTAGCAGGAGATGCTGAGCAGCAGCAGACTGTAAACAAGTGTTGTTATGGACCATGAGGTGCTGTAAGCTGCCCACAGCT